AATTTATGAATGCCCTGTCCTAGGAAGTTTTCAAGGCCAGTCTGCATGAGCCACTGGGCAACATGACCTCATGTGTGACCTCCCTGCTCATGGCAGGGAAGTTGCAACTAGATGATCTTTAGGGTCTCTTCCAACCCAAAACATTCTATGATTCTATAATTAACAGGAGGAATTCTGAAGGGTTTTATTAATTGAGGTTGACTTCCTCAAATACAGAACAATGTTTTGTTCTACATTTTTTCAAATGTATTTAATCTGAAAGTGTTGTAAGTGTTGTAGCTACTGAATTTGCAGTTATCTTTGCTCCTGCTCCCAGGGTGTATGGCTCATTCTCTTCCTTTCTGCTTTTGCTTTTCCCTATTATGCCTCTTACTGCCATCCTGCTAGGGTGTCATTCACTCATGCAGTCTTGTGCAGACAGATGAGAACATACTATGTATGTGCCACAGACCAGTTTAAAACAAATATTAGTAAGCTATTGGTAGCAAGCTGTAAGTACTATTACACTTGAAGCTGATTTGGTGCACCTGGAGGTTCTAGTGTCCCCATATTTATCTACAACCAGATCTGTAGCCTGTGTGCATCTTCCATTGGGTTTTGTTTGTTTTCTCTTATTCTTATTCTGTGGAGACTCCCTGCAAACCTCTGAAGTGATCAGTGCATTTTAGTAGGGTGCTGAAAGACTATAGACAGGGGCAAGGGGGTGTCCACCCAGCTTCTGCTGGATGGTGGTACTGTTGAATGTGCCGAGTGGTATAACAAGGGATGCTATTGCCTCTTTAGTCGTCTATTGAATCTGCACCTTCTGTGCATTTATCACTGTTGGTGTGGGATTCTCTAATGTTGTGCTTTCCCTGATCTCGGTGCTTCTCAGAAGAAGCTGTGAGGAATAGTGGGTACTTGCACAGCATGATGTGTTTAATGTTTTTACTTGACTTTTTAACCACTCCCAGCTTAACAACATTGGATTCTGTTCTGCCTTTACTGTTTCAAGCCATGACAGCATTATCTTCCCCTTACGTCCCTCACAATCAATTCCCAGATTTAATTCTAGTGTCTTCATATTCCTTCTTCTTAACATTTGCTTTTCTTTCCCGCAATGTGAACAAGCTATTCATTCAAGATAAATACATACAGAAGATCAGCTGTTCAGCTTCTCCCTATAGTGAAATATTAATCTGGGCTACTGAACTTGTACCATTTTATATGGAAAAAAATTTGTTTAGTATACTCAAGAAACAGAATCAGCAGTGCAGGTACCACTTAATGAAATCGACATAATTTTTTCCAAAGCTTGCAAGGCTGTTTTACCCTTTCTCTGATGTTCCCTGTGCAGCCTGATTATTGCAAATGCTACTTACTCCCCAGTGTGTGTCTGCAGCATTGGTAATTAGTGCACAATACGATTTGCAGGAGGCATGAGGAAAAAAGCACTGAAGTGTGTTGATTAAAATTGCCACTTAGTTTAGCAACAAGAAGAGCTACCATGTACCAAAGCCTAAATTATTTGAAGTGGGGGTCATGGGCTATATGAAGAATAAAGTGGTTTTAAAAATAAAATTAATCCTATGTCCATTGATCTAACAGTGTTCAAAGTGTCTTCCCCAAAGCATTCTACTGAAAAATTTTGCATGTTGATTTAAAAAAAAATTACAGCTTTATTAAATGAGTAAAATCCTTTCACATTAATGTGTTTGGGCAGAGTGCTTTCAGTTTTGGGTGGAAGAGGCTGCCATCATCTTCTCTCTTACAAAGCCAGTGAAGAAAAAACAGATCCTCTGTGTTCACCTAGTATTTCCAAGAATGCCACTTACAGCCTTCCTGTGATGCTACTTAGTCTTACCCATGTGCTTGAGGAAATTGAATCTGGATGAAAATGTGTCCTGCCAATGTATATTGTCTAAAGAAGCAGCATTAGCATTAATAAATGCCAACACAGTTCTACACAGTTCTAGTACTATTCTAAATTCTCTTTTTTCTTTAGCTGCAGTAATTTACAGTTAAAAACACGTATCTTGACATGGCCCAAGGATTTAGCAGAAATGCAACTGCTAATGCAGATATTTACCTCATCATGCAGTTATGTTCACTTCTGGTTTTAAAATTAAAAATCTGCCAGCTGAACTGACCTGTCATCTAGAGACCTCTGCCTCTTATTTACATCTCATATTCAGAATATTATAGAAAGCCTGCTGATGGTCATCTGACCCTCTTGCTCCCTGCTGCTTTTCCATGTAGTCATTAGTGATTCTGTTGGGGTGGCCTGGGAAGTGTTGCATGTGACTGTATGGCTTCGGGTATGATGATCAAGGGTGTGGGAATCCAGGTGGTGTTTGCCTTGATCTGTCTTCTGAGAGGGAGGGGCATGGAGGAGGGTTGAGTGAAGTAAATGAGGCCTTCTTCAGAGAAGTACTCTCATGTTCAAAGGTCCAGGTTCTCATGGAGTAGTAGAGTGATGTTAATGATCTGCTGGAAGGACAACAGAGGCTCAGGTGATCTAGAAGATGGTGGGGACAACTTCCTGTTACAAATGATTCAGGTGCCAGCAAGATGATCTCCAGTGGTCTCTACCTACTTCAGTGACTCTTCTGTGGTCTCTTCTTAAGTCCTGGAATGAAAGGGGCAAATTAACAAAACAGGAACTGTGAAAAGAATAAAAACTTGCTCTCATGCTAAGGGAAGAGAAGGAGCCTAAAACATCATCTAAACTTCTCAGCTCTCTGAAGTGAGATTTTACTTCTCCAACTTTCATAGGGCCAAATTAGAATACCATGGTGCTAAACAAGGAAAAAGGGTTCCTGGCAGTACTGTCACTGGTTATTTCAACAGATATACATTGTGCTTGAATTCTTCCACAGGATGCGACACACTTCACTTGAAGCGCTTCATATATATATATATATAGCTTATAGAATAAGTGGATGCCCTAGAGAGGAGGAGGAGGAAAAGTTGTCATGGCAAGTGAAGCATTGCACCTCCCCTGCAGCATAATTTGCAACTGCATTTATACAGACGCTGTATCTGAAACAAGAGAAGTGAACAGGATATTTCAGAGGAAGTTCTTTATAATATAAATCAAATGGGAAACACGATTCCCTATGAAATGCTTTGCAAGTATGGAAACTCAGACTAGGTTAGTTTTCAGATAGTACTTACTGGAAAGGATTTAAAATTTTGCTGTTATATATTGTCACTCCCAAACTGATTCAGGTTCTTAGAGTATATTTGGTGATTTTTTAAAATATATGTTTCTTTAGAGATCCTTACTCCTTACTATAAGGAGGAGTAAGAGATCAATCCAGTTTTTAGATGTAGCAGTACTTCAGAGGAAATCTGCTCAAAAACCTGCTGGATTTCAAGCCAGTGTACAGTTGTTTGAAGAATCCAGGTGGCTGTGGCCTTGTGTTCTTTCTGCCCTAGCTGTGAAATGATATGAGGAACATATTTCAATCACAGTACTGAAAGCAGTATTGGACTTACCGAAAAATATTTTATGGTAATGGTCCCCACATGCGAAGAAACAAAGATGCTGACACTCTGTTGATTGTTGTTTTTCTAGTGTAACGATCAGTGGTTACAGTTTACAGCAATGGTTAGAGTGGATTCAAATAAGTTTGTGCTGAAGTGGATGCAGAGAATACAGATGAGCAGTGGGTCCCATAAGTTTTTTCCTGGAGGTGGTAACGCATATCTTCATATTGGAAGTTGTTAAATTGACTCCAGCCAATTCCCAAGTCATCTCTTAGTGCCCTTGGGCTGTTTCCTGAGCTCTTGGCTGTGTCTTTCCTCATTTAAGGAAAGAGGAATCTGTTGCAATACACTTGAGAAACAGTTTTCGGTATTTTTTTACTTGGAAACTGTGCTTATAACTGTGTTTACCTGCAGGAGGGCAACTTGATAGTGATTGATTTGTATTTTTGGTCTATTTCTAATTGATTTCAACTGTATAGACAGTTTCTTATTATTTTTGAGGAGGATGTTATAAGGTGGATCAAATAATATATGCCCTATATTTTATCCAAAACGTTTGGAAACACTAACTTTATTAAATAAGCAAAAGCTCCAATGTTTGTTCTCTACTAATCTAAATGAAAGAATGAAAAATATATGCACATTTTTTCCATTTCCAGTGGTTTTAGGCTGCTTCCTTCTCATTTTTTAATATAATTCTATAATTAAAAGGTACTTGTTCTTACTTTATGAAAGAGCATTCGTGGTATGTGGATCTTTCTTTCATTTAAATGCCTTGATATCAGAAATATGTCCTAAAAATATCTAGTAGCCAAGCTAAGAGAACTAGCTATCACACTCAACATTTTAATCAGATAATTTTTCCCTTTGGCACAATTTCTGCTTTGCATTCTTCAAGTTCTTTAGTTGTATGAGCCTGTACCTCACACTCTCCAGGAATGAATAATGGTGCTTTAAATTTGTTGTCACTAATTACAGTTTGATGATACTCCTTTTGTAGCCAAAATGGATTTGAAAGAAACCTCACTATAAGTAGGAGTCTAGTTATAACCTAAAAATTTCCCTCTCTATTGCAGAAATTCATCATATCTCACTATAGTAGAGCTGAACTTTGTAGGATAGGTAAATAATTTTCTACAGTCAGCATTATTTTAAGTCATTTAAGGGGGAGGAGGGATTAGGAAATGATGATTTTGTAGAAGAGATAGGTAAATAATTTTCTACAGTCAGCATTATTTTAAGTCATTTAAGGGGGAGGAGGGATTAGGAAATGATGATGAATTTTTCATGTTTCCTTGAGAAAAATCCAGTAAATGGGTTGTAATTCCTACCTACATCCATCCATGCTGTAGGTAACAGCTCTCATTCCTTAGTGAAGGGACAAAGAAGTTGTGAATCTGGAATTAAATCACTTGTTCCTTTCTACTGCTGTATTGTATTCTTTTAACAAGCCATTTTCAAATGAAAAATCTCAAGTTTGTACTTCATTCTCCAAATGAGAAAATGTATTTGCTTCTCTTCCCAATTAGAAACATACATCTTGGATCAGAAAAAAGAAGACTTTTGTGCTGAACTTCAATTTTATAAGAATTCCCAAAAACACACAGAATTTTTGATCCAGGCAGAAACCGAAGCACCGAAACTTTCAGATTTGCGAGTAACCAGTCAAAGAGGAGGATTCCTAACTGACTGTAATTCTGGCTCAGAAGAATCAAGGTAAACCCAAGAAATAACCCTCTAGATAGTTTTTTTTAGATTCAAATTATTGACAATATAAACATGGGTTTTTAAGTAAATATAGGGAAATTTGCTTCCCACATGCAATCAGTAAGTCAACTTTTTACTTAGACTCACCTTATCTGCCTTTCTTCCCTTGTGGAATGTAGCATTTCAGCTCTGTATTCTCTAGCACTCATAGAAAATATGATCATTGCAATGGTTTATTTCACACATTGTGGGTACTTCAATGATTGTGATCTCTACAGGGGATTTTGAAAATGAATGCTGAACAGAATAAAAACATCTTGAAAACCTAGTAGTCTCTGTGGCTTTACACAACAAGCACCTGAAATGTGATGAGTGAGTAGGAAGCAGGAATAAAGCAGGGTGAAGTCACATGAAGCTGGAAGTGTGAAGATGAGAAGCTATAATACCTTGTAGCAGTCTGTGACAGGAATCTGAGGACTGGCTAATATGATTGAAAAGTTTAACACAGACTCTGAATATTTTATTGTGTCACTAATTTTGGTCATTTCTTGTCACTAGTGTTTTTACTGAGCAGCGGCCCTCTATAGCAGTCTTAAGAAATATATACACATTCTATATCTGCCACAATGTACAAAGGTATAAGCAGCTAGTTATACCTTTGACTAGACAACTGGTTAGGGAACATGCTGCCAGTTCTGAGTGGCTTAGGCAGTCTGAATACCAATTTTCAACTGAGAGTGTCAGAGTTGTTTTTGAAAATGGGATCAAGGCTGCAAAGCCCTATTACATACTTTTGAAAAATACACTGATTCCTCATCTGTCTAGCAGATTCTACACCCAGTTTTGCTATCTTCATTATGATCTAACCAAACCCAATTCTTAACACTTTTTCATTTTCCTTTTTGCCTTTTTGCATTAGCAGCTGAAATTTGCTGTAAGGCAATGCATCCTGCACTAAATGCCAAGTATAATCCAAACTGCTTAAGTACAGCCCAGCAGAGTCACCCAAAAATTGTTCATTTTTCATTTCAACAGCGCCACTCCCACTGACAATCAGGCTTGTCTGGAACACTTAAGATTAACCTCCCACAGCAGTGATCATGTTGAACCATCTCAGCTCCAAGTATGTTATATGTGGGATCCCAAAGCTATATGCCAAAACCTATCTTTGCCCAAATAGATTTTAATTAGAATATATGTTAACATTTCTTGATATAGAAAAACGCAGTAAATGTTAAGTCAGTGTTGATTTGTGTTTTAGATGGTGGTCCTGGTACTGTCAATGTGATTTGTCATTTTTAGTTTTAAGGAGAAGGGAAGAGAAAATAAGTACAGTGGAAGCAGGTGAAAAAAGGGTGACTGAGTACAGACAACTGTCTGTCTGAGATAATGACTCTCTGGAGCAATAGATAGCTTTCTTTATCTATCTAGGAGGTGAATTACACATAAAGTAATGTCTACAGTGGAAGCAGGAGTTCAGAAGGTATAGCTTTTCTGTGACTACTTCTTATCAGTTATTAGCTATGAAGTATATAACCAGAAACTGCTTAAAGAAAGCAAGTGTTACAAATATTTGCTAGTTCCCTTTCTAATAATTCGTTTACTGATTTTGCTGCCATATTACAAATGAGATCTGAGTGATCTGTGAGTATCAATGGAAACGCAAGAAGTTTTATGAGCGACTAACTTTGAGTGAATTTTTCTGGCCATTGAATCTTGTCTTATTTTAAGTTGTCTATGGCTAATAAGTTATTTTAAAACTCCAAGTGGCATACAGTGTGGAATTCCTGTTGTCACTTATAATATTTAGAATCATACCATCATTTTACAGATTTCTTCAAGATAAATTCCTAGATTTTTTTTAACAGATATTCTCATATCACTTTCTGTGGAATCATCCCACAAAAAAATTTGGTTTGCTTAGACCTGAGCATCCCTTTGATCCCCAAATGTTTTATTACTTTTTTCTCTGTATTAAGCAATGGCTTTTAGTATTTGCTTTCCTTAAGCATTTGCTGTTTATAGGCTTCATAGCCCATTTATATTAATCTGGTTTTTGCCTTAGTAGTGTAGGATATTTATTTACTATTCCAGATTTGCAGATTCTTTTCAGAATTACAGCTTTAAGAAGTGGTTGAAGGACATCCATTTTTTTCTGACTATTTAGTACTTTTGCAGTGGTTAACAAATTTGTTAACAAGTTTTGATAATTTGTTTCTGTGTATTTTGTTTCAGAGGGGTGGAATAACAACAAGTTTTAAATTATTTTTCTTTTTGTTTTTTTTCCTTCAAAAATGCAGCAGTGTAGAAAGAAAGGATAACAGGATGCTCCCTGAATTTATATCCTCATGGAATAATGCTGAAGATTTAGGTGGAAGAACAGAAACTGCATTCCTTTTAAAAGAATTGGACACTCTGAGGGCCAAAAATAAAAAGGTACAATTGAGATATTCAAGATACCAATATTTGCTTTTTTATAATTGCCTTGCAAAACATACATTTTAAACTGTGCATGATTTAGTTTTGTTATTTATTTTAGTGCACCAATCACTAGCTTCCTGTAATTTTGGAATTTAGTGTTTGCTTAACAACTATTTCTCTGGAATTAAAAAAGACCCCTCCAACCTACTCTCTGACTTTTTTGATCAATGACATAGATTCTTGCACCCTAGGTGAACACCAATGAAGACCAAAGACTAGACCAGGATTTCATGGGTAGAATCTAATTAATGTGCCCTGATAACTCAGCTTTATTGAAGAGGAGAAAATTCCATCTTCCTTGAACACTGCATTGCTTCTAGTGTTAGCTGTGGTTGCATGTGCCTAAACAATCTAAGAGTCTCTAGTCTTTCCATGAAGTGTCATTGAATATTCAATCTGTCCAAGAACAGATTTAGTGAATACCCTTTAAAAGAAAGGCCTTGATATGTGAAAGAATACCAATCTTCCATCTGATGAAGAACATGAAAAAATAAGCATTTACACCAGTCATTTCAGACTGTGATGTCTGTATCTTGGTAGGAAACAGGATATTAATGCAACCACCTACATTATATTCCATGCAATTCTGAACTTCCTTAGCAAGAAGGACTACAGCTGGTGATACCTGAGAAAGAGAATCCCAAATAAAAACAATGGCAAGTGCATTGCTACTTGTCTCCCACAGCAAGATAGCCCAGATGTTAAAAAAATTCTTCTTAACATTTCTTCTTTAAACAAATAAAAATAAGAAATTGAACTTCTGGTTTAATGCTTAGTGTTTGTATTTTGGGGGTGAGAAATTGTTGTTTGCAATTTTATTGTAGTTGAATTACTTGTTGACAGTTTCAGCCAGATAAGAATCTTACTGTCCATTTGCTCAATTCAGCTTCAAGATAAGCTGGCTGAAAAGGACAAGGAGCTGAAGACAATGAAACTGGACTTAGAATTGCAAGATAGAGCTACAGAAGCTAAGATTGCAGAAAGGATTGCAGGTACAGTAGGCAAGCATTTAACAGATGGCTCTATGGCTCATACAGTACCCGTGGTTGCTATATGACGTGGCCTAGTGAATGTTAGCTTTATTTGCTAAAGGAGGGAAGATTTGACTTTTTTTTTAATGTGTGGCTGTTTAGAGTTGCTTAGAAAATAGATGGCTTTAACATCCTGGTACTGGTATTAGTAGGAGCTTTACCTGTATTCACACTGATTTGGGCATTAAATGCATTGTTAACACCATGTCAATCCAATCACAAAAAGGTTGTTTGTTTTGTTGGAAGGTCCTGAACAAACAAGGGGAAATAATGATTACCAGTGCCTCTACCTTTCAACCAGCAGTTCAAATACCACTTATTGTTTTAGCTGGTTCAGAGCAATACTACCCCCTCTCCGTGTTTGGAGATAGTCTCACATTCACCTCAACCAGGGACCTGCGCTGTTCTTGAAAAATCTGCTCTTTTGGTACTTAAAATGAATTTTTTCAGATGATGGCATATATCCAGTGAATGAAGTTTATATGAATTCTCAGAAGGAAAGGTTTTTAAGTGTATACCTGAAAGTGAACATGTGCTTATATTTGTTGTTAATTGTTCTTTGGATAGATATGCAAGCATGGAGACAGTTTGTATTCTGTGCTTGTGGAAACTGCTAATGTAATGAAGCTGGGCATTCTTATTATTGAAAAGAGACTCTGTATAAAGTATACCCAGTAGATGAAAAATACTCTCAGGTTTTCATGAAGATGTTTAAAAAACATGAATGGGAGTGCTTTTATAAATTCATTGTATCATTTGTTCAGAAAGAAAGCGTTAGCTTGGTAAAGTTGTTTCCTTATAGATCACACACACTTCATAGAGTATTAATAGTACTAATAGCTGTCACCAAAATATTTGTACTAAAGGGAGGAGTAACTGTCTTCAGGAAAATGGAGCAGATAATAAACTCTCTAGCTGAAAAACAGATGGCTGACATTCCACTTAATAACAAACTACTGAGAATATGGTGTAGTGTGAATATTATAGATGGAAAAGAGAGTTCCTAGATTTTCTGTGGTGGGGGAAGGGAAAGTCAAATCTAATCAACATCTTAGGAAAAAAATTTAAATACAGGCATAATTTTTAGTCTTATTTAATTTCACATAACTGCTTGCTTTATTTTCAGACAAAAGAAAAATCTGCACTCTGTGTCATTGTTATATCCAGTAGCCGAAAGCTAACGCAGATTGTTTGGCTTGAATATGAAGTTTTCTGTTTGTTCCTGGATATTTGCCCAGGGTTTTTACCTCTGTACATTATTCTCTTTGGTAGAGGTGTTCATTGCTCATTAAAACCCGGAAAGAAAGGTGTGTCAAAAACACGAATAGATTTGTTTTTATGGATATGGTTGAAATACTTGTTAGGAAATTGTTGTTTTTCTACACTACTGCTTAAACTTTCTATTGATGTCCTAAACATATTTTTCTCTTCAAAACAGAGTGGCATGAATATGGATATAATAATTTAACATGCTTATTCTGTTTTTAAAGGAAGACTAAACCAAATTTTAAAGACAGCTACATAGTGTAATAACAATGACCTTTAAAAAATAACTTTTTTTTTCTCCTTTTATGAGTACAGGAAGTATAAAATCCTTTAAATGCTGAAGAGAGAGGGCAAGAGGCTCCTTACTACTTAGACTGTTTGCCAAAAGGAAGCATCGTTAATACTTCACAGTTTTTTTGCTTCCTGTCTTGCAGTTCTAAGAATGTTACCAAATTTGGATAAATGGTTTAAAATCTAGAATTATGTGAACCAAACTGGATTTGTGGAAGCCTCTGTGCGTCTCTCTCATAAAAACCTGGGGGAGAGTTCTAATGGACAAGCAGAACCTAATAAAGAACAGACGGTGTGTTCAAGGAAAAACTTATCCCCCTGCATTAAGTTCTTTGAGGAGGGGAGAACACATGCTGCTGCGATTTCAGGTTACTGGTTAATGTTTAATTACTGCAGTGTGTAACACATGGTATAGTGAAGCTTGTAAATATGGGTGTTTGCATTTTTATTATTACTTAGTACTGACTTTATGATAAGTAAGTGACTCCACAAAATTATATTGTAAAGAACATAAGAAAGGTACCCCATAAAAGTGTTATCTACTTTGAGGAATATTAGAATTCTGTTTTAAAAGGTAACCCTGTAATTGATAGGTTTTACCTAAACAAGCCTTATGGAAAGAATTGAAAAGGGCATTTTGAAATGAAGCTACAACAGTCTACAGAAACAAATAATCCAAAGATTGACATCTGGTGATTTTTAAATTGTTCAAAGTAAAAAGTGAAGAAAAAAAGGGTAAATTTGTGAAATAGTTCATGAGAAAAGAAAAAAAAAGTAGAATTAAAGCAAAAGATATACATGATGGAAGAAAAGTATTACACTTTGCGAAGTAAATAACTTCTTTTCAGCATGTTTTTATTTTAAAATTTTGCTACTTAGCATTGAAAACATATTTTAAAACTTCCTTGGATCCCTATCTGTATGTCAGCTAGTTATGGCTAAAGAAAATCAGAGAATTTAAAGTTTTGATTTCAGACTTCTAGGCATTAGAGACTATTGTTTTTGGTGGACATAGTTACCACAGGTTCCTGCAGTTTATTCATTATTATTCTGTTGGATTTTGTGTCATTCTGACTCAATGTCAGAAGGTACTGTTAGTTTCACTCCCTGTCATGAAGAGGAACAGAGGTGGAGGAAACATCAGGAATAGTCAGGGAAGTGCACATCATAACCAGAAGAGTGTAAGCAAAAAAAGGGACTACATAGGAAGTGAGTATGAAGAATAGCCAGATCTGAAATTTGGGTGTGCAGACCTTTCATATGTTGAACAGAAAAGGGAATGGGTGTCACCTGTGGGAGTGGAAAGGGGAAGGAGCACACATCTGCCGAGGACAGGCTGGAAAATCAAGATGGAGGCATTGCAAAGGAGTAAGTCTTCAAAACAGCTAGCTGAGAGAACAGGTCTCACTTTGGATGGATGTAGTGAGTGACTTCATTTTTTCCTAATGGAAGAATTAAGCAGGGGATATATATATGAACTTTCAGAGGAAGGAGCTGGTTGAGTGTAAGGGAGAGTTATAGAGCACAGGGGTAACTTCTCTAGACTGGAAAAAATATCAAAGACCTATTCTCACAGTACCATTACTGCAGCAAGATATACCATAGCTGGTATCAGACCCAGAGGTCTTGAAATATTTTTGTTGCTATCAGAGTATATATTGGGACTAAGAATAATTCTGAACAAAAATACAATAAAATATTTATCCTTAAATCTTTCTGTAGCAACTGTGAGTTGGGTTTTTTTAATGCCAGTATCTTAAGTAATAATATTACCAAAATTTAATACTTTCTTAAATCAACATCAGCTCAGCAGGGCTGGGTCCAGCCCTGTTAGGGGTTTTACACTATTTTTAATGCCTGAAAACTGTATTAGCATTCTGTAGATGCTCTCTGAAAGACCAAGGTAATGATAGGAAATACGGTGTGGAAAAAGAGGAAAGCAGCACTTCTAACATGGTGGTATACATCATACAACTTTCAGTCTCTTGGAAACTAGAGCAATATACCTACAATGAAGTCCCTATTTCAGGTCTGTTTTTGTAAAAATGTTGTGAATATACATTTGTGGTATTTTGGAATTCTTTAATATGGTGTGGAAATATTAATGAACATTATTTGAAGTTTTCTAAATTAACTTGAAAAATAATTACTGAATATGCATATGCAATAGATTTAATAGCAAAAGTAAAAACAAATATCCAAGTGGCTGTTAGCTTAGAGTTAATTTGATTTAATATCCATAAAGTGAGAGGAAATAAGTAATCTTGCCAGTAATAAACTTTGGGTGGCAATAACTTTCAGCACAGAAGAAAAGTATTTTCCATTTCTTCAAAGCTCACTTTAGAGTCCCTTTTTAGATGTTATTTTTCTTTCCTGCATGTCATCCATTAAAGATTAGCTGTGGAAGGTTGGAGCATGGAGAGATTATGAATGACAGAACAACTCCTGCAGAATAATAATCAGTTTTTGGTATTTAATGCTGTTTGACTTTTGCAGACACATTTCTTATTAACCTTTGGTACAAACAGAAATCCAGGTTCCTGATATCTCATGGAGAAGATGAATTCAAGATCCTCTTCCAATTAAACTGAAATAAGGCCAATATTGGGCCTTAGCCAAAAGAACTCAGTAGTTCCCAACTCTCATGTTTATAAACCTAAATATGAATGATATTTTACAGTAAGAAGGTAATGCATATACTTTCCTAAACCAGTTTTCTGTGCATAATTTATTTATACATTTTGTCCATATAACTCTTAGGGGGCTTGTCCTAGTAAATGCTTCATTATGAATGCTATTTCCTGAATATATTTTCAAAATATTTCCTGATAGATAATAGAATTTTGAAAATAGCTGCAGTATTTGAATCCTCTGCATGGGAAGGTAGAAAATCCACTTAAAGAAAAGAAAAAAACCCTGGGGTGGGGGCATCGTGACTGGTAAATTCTTGGCTTAATTTTTAACAGCTTAATTTGAAATAATGTGATTTTACTTTCGGATTGTCAGAATTTTTGACTGTCCAAAAGCTGCATACAGCTCTTTGAAGTACAATATATGATGAGTTGACATAGATTAAAATGTCAATTACTAAGCTATTTATTGGTGGAGCTTGTATGTAAAAAACAAGCCAGTTTCTTCTGCATTTTTTATGGCTAGTCTTTCCTTTCTTCCGCACAAGTGCTAGATGAGCATAAAGAATTGGGTTTTATTCAGGAATAAAAAGGTCTGCAAATGATGTACTTCTTGGGGCATTACAAAACTTTCCTTTACCATGACAAATTATAACTTGCAAACTTTAATGCAGTGTTTATATTTTCCCCCTAAAAGTAAATATTCAGGCATCAGCAATTACCCACTGAAAAAAGTTTAACGGCATTATGGTTTGAATTTTGAAGTCAGCTGTG